CCCTCCCACGACCCCCAATTGAGTTAGCCAGGGAGTTCAGGGCTCCTGTGTCTTTCTCTACCTTTCTCTTCTCTTCTCTTCTCTTCTCTTCTCTTCTCTCCCTCCCCTGAAGGGCAGATTCTCTGACTCCCAGCTAAAGTCCGAGAATCCCACCTGGGACGCACAAAATAAACCTCCCCTTTTTCTTCTCTCTGGTCTGGCGTAGGTTAACCCTATAGGATAGGATAGAACTGCCCCTGTGGGTTTCTGAGATTGCAACTCTTTACAGGAGTAGAAAGCCTCATCTTTCTTCCTCAGAATGGCTGGTTGTTTCAAACTGACGACCTTGCAGTTAGCAGCCCAAGGTGTAACCACTATGGCACCAGGGCTCCTAAAATTCCATCATTACATAACTGCCAAGCCCGTGAGAGAACCATGGTCCAGGCAAGTTTCCACATAACCCTAGCCATCACAACCAGCAGTTCTTCTCCCCTTACACCCCAGCATCAGTTACTACCACATTTATGTAGTAATGCACAAAATAGTCTAACAGATTTTTAAGTACTGTAATAAATATGAAGTGTCAACATAACAGCAAGTACAGAGTATATGTAGTTAGAAATGAAACAACTCATGAATATGAGTAGTGGGGTTGTAAATCAGAATTTATAAGAAATTGCTTTAAAAAAAGGAATTTGTTGAATACACTTATACAAAGACTTTTTAAAAAAGAAAAGATGCAGGACCATCTTCCACCCCTTTCCACACAAAAGCATCTTCAGAGCACAGCACAGAGGGAGCACACCATAGGCTCAAACAGCCTTGGAAAGAGGGCCACACTATTGATATCTATGTGGCATAAAATGCAGAACAATCTCAGTACAGAACAGAGCTACTTTCATAAGACTGTCATTAGCACTGGCATAACTTTGAATGCATAAAATATTTGTGAAGAATGAAATAAAAATTAAAGTTGTAGAGAAAAAATCAAATTCATCACATATGGATATAGTATATAGCAGAAGGTTGTAATTCCCACAAACTAAGAAAAAAATGGTCCAGCTTTTAAGAGGGAGGAATGTATTACCTTTCTCCTCACCTCCCTTTTTGTATGACATTTCTGCATAACTAGTTTTCTTTTGTTTTTAATTCTGAAAGCATTTTCTACCCATGTCCCTAATGAAGCTTGAAATTAACATGGCCTTTTCAATTCCCTCTTTGTGCACCAGCATGAAACAGTGTTTGGATCCCGGAAACATCACAAGGTAGAGATGAGGCAATACTACAGAGGATCATTTCTTTTTCTAAAGCCCTAGAGCACTGTTTATATAGCCTCAGGACTGATCAAAATGGTTGGTTGGCTGGCTGCTCCACCTTCTCTGCCCAGAAATGGCCCAGAAGTCATTGAAACGCTCATTATGTGCTCTTCGGGGTCAAGTGTGCAGAATTGTTCCATTTCTGTAGGATACAAATACTGTCTTAAAAAGAAAGAACATGAAAGGTTAGGGAGCTGCTTCTATCCAGGGAGGTAAACAATGAACATGCCCAAAAAGAGGGAAAGAGAAAAAAATATTCCACTACATCTTATTTCCTAAGGTACTTGTAGTGTAAGAACCATGAGTGTTCATCTTGACTATTTTAACTAAGCTGAATGAAACCTACACAAATCTGAGCCAGGTGCTATCGAGTCAACTCTGACTCATAG